ATCCTTTTTTGGCGACAGCGAGTGCGAGCAGGCAGGGCGTGTGATGTCGGAGGTGGGCTACGAGCTGAGCGGCGTCTTCGCTGTGCAGGGTGCTGGGCTAGGTGGGGCCGACCCGAAGGAGTTCGATGCTGCGTGGGAGCAGTTTGCTGTGACTTAGACGCAGGCTGTGATTGTGTTTGGCTCGCCGATACGAGACACCGCGAAGTTCATTGCGAAGATGCTGGCGGACGGACGCACCGCTGGCGCGTACCTGCTGGCTCCCTCGGCGGTGCAGGACGTTGTTTTTGAGACTTGGCGTGCTGTCGTGGCTGATGGTGGTGCGAAGTTTGTGCCCACGCTCGCGTTTGCTGCTGCAGTGCACGGCCGCTGCCTGCACCTGCGCCGGGCAGCTGCGTTGGTGTGCTTCTCACGTTGCCCCTGGCGAGGCCGCGGGCCGCTTTGCCGTGGTGTTGGTGCGTTAGACTTGTTGTTGGTTGATGGTGGTGACAGCTGGGCCTTGGGAGGCGCCGTGTTCGGGAGGCCCGAGAGAGGTGTGATAGATTTCCCACCCAACAGCTGCAGATGCCGATGTGTATCGACATCTCTCGCACTGAGGATGCCCCTGTGGAGGCTAGTTTGACCGTGCGGGGTGTGGAATTGGAATGGAGACCCGTGGTTCGGGTTGCGCAATGAAGCGCTAGTGGGTTATAGGAGGAGAAGTGGATGAAGGAAGGTGAAACTGTTGTGTGCGCTGTTTTGAGAAAGTTTTTGCCGAAGGACTTTGAGGGTGTTTGCTTAAATTGTTTCCAACATTTTGGTTTGATGTTGACGCCACACGGCAGCGGTCCCACGTTACATTTTCAGGAGGGAATCGGGGTACTTGTCTGCCATGTTGCCATCAGTTGGCTGGTTGGATTTTTTATACGAGTGGCTCTTTGGTGGGGATGAAATCACCGTTGACATTCTGTGGCGGTGAACACATTGAGTCCGTGCAGTTATGGCCCCTCACTGCGTATGCCTCCCTTTCATCCCAAGTGTACAGCACACTCTTTGCGCTCTCGAGCTCCGTCAACTCCACAAAGACGATGTAGTGTTTATCAACAGTGGTAGAAGCCTCCTAGGCGTAGTGCAGCTTCTCTTCTCTTCGTTTTTGCGGTACGGTGTGTAGCAGCATACTGGCGTCGAGCCTCTCAGCCTTCAGCGGAACTTAGCCCAACATCATAAATTTGATTTACATCTGAGAGCCACAAGCGCGGCCGCCTTTTTTTTTTTTTTGATTCTCTATAGGGTGCATTGGCTGGCTGAGGAGAATGGCTTTCCTTCCACCGATGGTCACGATGATGAGATCGCCCTTCACCGTTCAGCGAGTTGGCCCACACGCGTTTGAGAGTGTTTTGTGTGTCTCCATCCATGACTTGCCCTCAGAATTGATTTTATACACCCTGTGGGAACTGTTTTCACATGACTTCATCATGAGTTCACTCTTCTTCCACTCAAGGACGGCAGGATGAATGAGGCCTTTATGGCTTCTCTCATCTGAGAACTTTCATCTGTAGTAAGGACGGTTAAAAATGATGAACATGTAATTATTATTTCCATCGCCCCTCAAAGCCTGAGCAGGCAGCATTTAAGTTCTGTCCTTCAGCTGAACTTTTGCACTGCCACCACCAAGAAACTGTTTGTAGGTGGCAGGTGTGGAATCCACCAAGACGTTATCAGAGATATCCGAAATGCATTGATGACTCCACTCAAACTTCTTCCTATTCCGCCCATCGCCGTCGTCGCCATGCAGCTGCCCACTAGCGTCAGTGGGATTTCACCAGTCGGCCGCGACGCACACCCGCAGTTAGGCGGGGCCCTGACTTGCAGTGGCCGCCAAGAGAACGTGTAAGCTGATCACGTCCACAATGGCCGTTGGGCTCAGCAAGGTCTCAGCCTTCACGTCGTAATGATTCACCAATATAACACTCACCACCGTCCAAGTCATTTCGAAGTCGTTTATTGACTTCGCGGCGACACCGATACTTGGCTTTTAATGCGTGGTATTTATGAAATGTGCGCCTCAGCAATGACCAGAGTCACACCAGCTACACCCACCAGAGACGTGGGAGCGAAGGAGTCAAACTCCTCAGTTTTAGTGGTTTCATCTGAATTAGGGATTCGTGTCTCTTCCACGCCTTAAGAGTGTGACAGTTAGATTGCTTTTCTTTGCGTCTACAGCCCCAATGCCGCTGCCCATCAGCAGGCAAAAGAGGAAGAAGAACGGCATCGCAGTGGAAGTAAACAAGTGCCGGCACATGTTTGGGTATGTGCTGCTGCTCACTCTCTCTTCCTTCTCCTTCTGGAGGATTCGCTCAGGGCGTGACGGTTGTGTGTGTGTGTGGTGTGCTCCGAGAGCAGCGGCACTTCAGTGTGTAAATGTGGGGGCGAAAGAAGTGAAGTACGAAAGGAGCAAAAACGAAAAATAAGAGAGAGCAGGGAGCAGCGGTATCCCATAAGGTGGATACCGCAGCACTGGAGTCTAGGTCGCACTAATTATCGCACAGGCAATCAAAAAAAAATACTGTGGCAGGTGATTTTATTGCTTCCACTGCTCTTCCCCACATGCGGAAGTGCGTCGGCGCATACGTTTCCTACAAAAACGAACACCTGCTGTGTTTCACGGGCCAAATGCCCAAATACACACACACACACACACACACACCACACTCCGACTCTGTGGGCCCCGTTGCCTTGTGTTCTTCACCTCACCCGCTCAGTCACTGGCGCAGTCCATGAAAAGGAGCTCACTCTGCCGAGACTGCCAGCGCGTGTGGGCAACCCAAAAGCAAAAGGTGTGGGAAATGTTCTCTCGTGAGAGTACCGTAGCAAGCGTTCAGCGGAGAAGGAAGAATAAAAAAAAATGTCAAAAAACAAAACAAAAAAGAAGAACAAGCTGTGGTGAAATAAGGAAGTCCACCTATACCCCACAAAAAAAAAGACTACAACAAACGCGCACACATGGAAAAACAACAATAAAAAACGGGTCCTACACGGACAGCAAATTTATTAAAAAGTATTCACCGTGGATGCCGATCCGCCTTCATTCCTGCGACTAGCAGTAAGCGAGAAGCGTCAAGAGGCCCAAAAACACAAGCAATAACGACCAGCTCCCGCGCACATGCACCGAACTGTCCCCGAATACGCCCCATGGCGAACCAGCGCCCCTGCCCCAAGACTTCGTGGCAGGGCCAGCAGCATCCTGTGACTCCCCGTTCGCCCCATCTCCATTCATGCCAGCTACTCCATACCCTCGAATTGGTCCAGACGCCACCTCT